GCAGTTCCCAGGTTGTGAGAGGGAGTCCCGAGCCCTCTTGCTCCCCACTCCTCTCCCCTGTGCCAAGGTGGGGGCCTCTGCGTGCTGACCACTTGTTTTGGAATGAACTTGCTGAATAACCTCAACCCAGGACCAGCCCCCTGGCTCCAGTTTCTGTGCATCACATAAGCAGCTGGGGCCGTAGGCTGCTGAAAGATGCTCACACCAGCAACAAGACCTGCACAGCCAGCTTGTGCGCCCTCCCCTTCCGGATCCAGTGCGGCGGGTGGTGGGCCACTCCCTAGACAACCACTGCCCACCTGCTGGGTGTGAGGGTGTGGGCAGGGGGCAGCTCTGGCGACAGGGCCCACACATACCCACCACGAGGAAGGCTCAGGGAGGCCGGGCGGCGGGCGGGTGTCGTGTTGGCAGAAGAGACTGGGGTGGATTCTAGGAATGGATCCTAGGGGTGGGATGACTCGCCCATGAGCATGAGGAACTGAGCTCATTTTGAGCAGGTGGGACCCAAGAGCCCAGGAGGCGGGGTGGGGAATCCCTCCTACCAGGAGTGTGTGCCAGGCCAGGGCAAGACAGTGATGGCCGGTCTGGGAACCAGGTAGGGTCCAGCCGCCGTCTGCAGGGTCTGAGGCTGCGAGCTGGGAGGGGAGCCCCAGTGAGCGTCCAGCCCGTGGGCTTCGGGTTGACGCCAGTTCCCTCTCGCTGGGCAGGCCATCATTCCAGGTGGCACCTGTGAGACTGCGGAGCAGACCATGCCTGCCCTCCCAGTGCTAACCGTTTTTGCTCTCCACATGACCTGCCACCAGGCACGTGATGAGCGAGCTCCTGGACACAGAACGGGCCTACGTGGAGGAGCTGCTGTGCGTCCTGGAGGTGAGGCTGGACTCAGGGAGGGCCAACCACCACGCGGACTCAGCTGCACTACCCGGTGGGGCTTCCTCTGACAACTGCTGCTCGGAGCAGCGCTGCTGTCCACCAAATGCACGTGAAAGAGCGTCCACAGCAGCCTGGTCGCAGCAGCCCCAGACGGGGAGCCCCTCAGGGCCTGTCAGCAAGACACGGACCAGGCAGCTCAGGGGG